ATTAACTACGTATGCTATAATTATGGAATGCAACTGTATTCTTGCCATGGTGTGAACGACAGTGTAGTACAGCACATTAATATTTGACGGTAATGCCTCTGGGTTTTATCTTTGCCTCTATTAAAAAATGTGAGTGTTTATTGATTTCGAATTTGTCTGCTTTTCATTATTGTTGATATCAAGAAATTGGATTTTGATGTCTGAAAAGTAGGTGGATTAAAGTTTGAGTGGAGAAAATACTCCTCAGTTTCAATGCATAATTCTGTACTTCTCAGCACGACAAAAGCACATTAACTTGTTCACGGTTCCAACCTTGCTGACGTAAATAAACTCTGGAAAGGTATGAAGCTTTAACGCTTTTGATTGATTTGGGCGAGACGAGATTGAAATTTTGCCCGGAAGGACGAAAAAATTGAGAAGAATACCTCGATCACCTCTCACGCTTTTGAATGCATAAGCTTTTAATTTCGCCTTGTCCTGAAAGGCGGTGATGGTTCTCGGTTTGATGTTTGATGAGACGAAAAACACTTCGATTGTTTCTTGATAAATTGTTATTACAGTCAATTCTTGAATTTTGGAAGAGAATTTTGTGATTACTTGTACTGTATTACCCTCAATCTTTCGTAAGAGGTTGCAGTTTAGTCTTGCATGTGAGACACTTTGGTACTTACTTCGTTTCCGAGTTTGATATGAGAGCACTGTTCAAGTGAGCCGCTTAAGCTTTTAAAATAGCTCAACCCCTGATTGGCTAATTTTTTTTCAGGTGAGAGAAATGCTTCGAGCTCGTGACTCAAACGGTGCTCGGATGCTGACTCTAATCACTGAGCAATTCCTGGACGATCCTCGCCTTTTGCTCTGGAAGTCGCAAGGCACCTCAATGACCGACAAATTCCGCCTGTTATGGGATCAACTCGGAACCCTCTGGGTCTGTGTCGTCCTCAACCCCAAGTGCGAAACCCAGGAGAAGCAAATGTGGCGCAAACTTCTGGATCGTTGGGCCCGGGTTCAGGTCTGCCCGCTGGAGGATCCCGACCACCGACCGCCGCCGGCGTCTCAGTCAGGATCCCAGCAAAACGGCGGCGGGAACGGAGCACCCGGCGCCAGTGGAGCCGCCTCTCAACGTCCGCCGCAACTGAGGTTGAGCTCATTCGGATTACGGGTGTCGGATACGAGTGATGCCGAAGAGGACGAGGACGACGAAGAGGAAGAACGAGACGGATCCGGAAGTAATAATTCCGCGTCTTCGGATGAAGAGGAGCATGAAGAACGCTTGTCGTACTTGAGAGGGAAGCGGAAGACGCGTCAGACGACTGCAGAAGAGCGGAAGCGGAAACGGCGTCGAAGAGTGCGGCGTCGCGGCCACGGTAGCGATGGAACTTTGACGAAACATGTCCCTCGCACCGTCTTCCATCGGTGATTATTATTTATTTTTATCATTTCTTTGGTCTCGGAACGATTTAATTCACCCAAGGAGGCTTCATGAGTTTTAATGTTCAATTATTCTCGCTGCATCACCGACTATTTTTTTCTACCGCACCCGTACTATTTGGGGCATATGCAGTAATTTTGCTTAATCACATTTCATTTGTTTGCCTCAACAAGATGTCTTATGGAAAGATTTATATTCCAACTATTTTTAGAATTTAT